ACGCGCCTCCCGCCCTGGGCGGGAGGCGCGTGGGGCTGGGGCAGTAGGAGGCCCCGCGGCCAGGGGCAGGGGCCCGAGGGAGGCCGCGATCCCTCCCCTGCGCCAGGCGGGGGAAGGGAGGGGAGAAGGTGGTGTCAGGTGGAGCCCACTTGCTGCTTTCGCGCTCCTTCCCCCGTCGGCTTGCCCGGGGAAATGTCTCTCAGCAACAGCCGCGGGCAGTTTTTTCCCTTGTTGTGTAAGGATTTTTTTAACTGTTACATAAATTGGAGCGATTGAGGAAAAAAAAGCCCCGCTTGGCTGAGTTGGAAGAACTTCCTTGACGTCATGATACAGACGTAAGGATTTGAGCCTCCAGTCCTTGTTCCGGCGAAACCATTGTTTGTCACTGGAGCAGGATCAGGCTCGTTTGCTCCAATGGGATTTTTTGGCTCGAGCATCAGAAGAGGCTTCTCTTTTCCCCGGTTTGGTCCTCGCAGCGTTTCTTTCGCGCTCCCGGATAGCACGTTTAGCATGACTCTGGGTCCCGGGTGCAGGTTTTGCCTGCTTTGAGGCCGTCAGAGCTGCTTGTCTGATTCAAGGGCGCGGCAGGGTCGGGCCCCTTTGGGCAGTGTCAGAAGCCCTGACCTGTTCCTGGTCCGAGCTCGGAGCGGTTCATGTGGCTCCGATGGCACACGTTCAACCACAGAATCGCTGACAGATCGGGACGGGGGTTTCAGCCCAGCGCAGCCCCAGGACTGCGCAATGTTGGCACGAGCTGAGCATATTCCAACAGAGACATTATTTTCCTACAAGGAGCTGATTCTTCAGAAGTGAAGTCAGCTTTTCTATCTGTGCAAATATGCAAGCAGCTTGCCTGGTGTTTGTCTGAAACACAAGTGAGCCGGTAACCCACATATCCACGTGGAGAAAAAAACAGGATTTATTTTCCCAGCGCTTCAGCGCGCCGTGCAGTAGCAGGACTTCTCTTACACGTAAAACATGCTTTCGTCTCACAGTGACACTTGAGATGAAATTTCGCCCTCCCAGACGAGGCAAACTGCCATTAAAACAAAGAGGCGCTTTGCTTC